CATCTGCATTGGGCTTTTCCCCATACAATAAGTTCACTATTTGTATTTTCCATAACATGAACTCTGTCAACTCTTTGAACTTAGTTTGATATCTAACAAGTAGTTCCGTCCCATCTTTTACCACAAAGAACGCTTTCACAAGGGCAGTTTTAAACAGATCAAACTTGCAATTCTCACTACCTGGTTCACCCAATAAAAATTTGCCGAGGCTTTCGTACCAGCTCAGTGTTTTCCGAACGATGATGTGGAGGTAATTTCAATTAATTGCAAAGGTACTCCGTAATGCAAATGCCTTGGTCCAAGCGCGGGGGTTAATATAGTGACCTTCTGTAAATGGATGAAATAAAAAGTGAGGCTCTAATTGCATCATAACAACGATCAACCTGAATCTTCTACCGGACTTCCTGAGGCCGGTAGAGATGTTGCTTTAACTTGAGACATGATCAGTAATTTGTTCGGGCAGCACTTATAGGGTTATACTAATTAGTCCAATAGCTCTAACAGACATGAAACGGATTAACGCTATGTCTGAAACAACAGCTTTGTGAGGTTAAAGATAACTCTTTTCTTTAAACAGATTTAGAACACAAAGGCACCTCTTGTGCTACAATTTCTACAACTCATGATGATGCAAATTGAGCAGCAGTCAAGGACTACACAGTTAAATACTATACTAGAAGCTGGCTCACTACCCTACCGGAACATCATAATTAAGATATAGGCAGAAAGGAAATGGATAGCTGAATAATTATAACTACCAAAGCTGGCAGGAACTAGACATAGCATGCACGATGCCAGAAACAAGCTGTCTTAAAATCCCCAAACCTCAGTTTAAATACTGGCTACTCATTTGCATTCTGCTAGCTACAGTAAAGGCTCAGATTATAGCTGGTTAATTAACATAAAATTCCCTACAACCTTAATCTTTAATTTCAACACCCATGTTTTTTTTTCTTTCCACATATATGAGAAAAGACTTTATTCCACGGTGCACTTCTTGTTCTGGGTTGTATTGTAGACACCAGGCATCATCTACCGCAATGATACACTTTAAAAAAGTGTCTTGTCACACAGTAGTCAGCAAATCTTCGAAGAAAGCTTTTCTGTCAAACTACAAAGCTCAAACTTTCAACATTTTCAATTAAAATTACTGTACATCTTACTTTATTTATCCCAAAGCATGCCTTTCTGGCATGTTGCTGAGTTATACGCTATCAGCTTTTACCAAAGAGCGAATTTTCTCCACACTTTTCCTTTGAAGTTGAAATGCTGCCCTGTATTTGGTTCATCTTTAACCCTTTTGCGTCCACATTTAAAGCAGTTGTAACCACTTGTGTTGTTAATAATGATGCATCACTATATGTTAATGGTGGCGAACTTCTTTGAAGGCCGTGTGTCTCAAAACTTTTTTTTTTGGGGGGGGGTGACCCACATGCCCTAAACCTATTAGATTAAATCCTCATCAGGGAGCAGTTAAACATGTTTTGCCAGGCACAGTGAAATTTGAAAGCTGGCCGTTGTTATATGGTTTGTTTTATATCCAATTTTCTGGTTATTATAATTCCTCAATTTCCTTTCAATAAACACCTTCCGTTCAGCTTCATCAAGTTTGGCAACAATCTTGTGGTTGATGTTAAAGTGCCATCTGACATTAGATGAGCGACACACAACACTTTCCCTGCACAAAATGCATAATGCTTTCCTATTGTGTACAATAACTTAAATGATTTTATCCAGGTCTCTTGAAATGATCTGCTATCAATGTTTAATTTTGTCTTTTTTGCTGGAGTCATTTGTGAGGGTTCAAGACTTGCAGTACAGAAAAGCACAAAATTTAAAAATTAAGCATTAAGTATAAATCGATCATATACTAGAAAGGGCTAACATTATTAGCCAATAGTAAGAAATTGGATTTTGACGAATTGACAATCTGTGGCTTCAGATTAAAGTATGAACAGCGGGCAGCAGTAACCGTTAACACGGATATATCTTTGCTTAACTTTAGATTTCATATGCTCCTTTTCGGCTTTATTTTGCCTGAGTTTTTGTGAATAAGCTTGGTTTCCCTAATAAGCTTTCGTGTTTTGCTATATTATCAAATTGCTTCTTTTTACATTATATTTGTACATTCTATTTAAGATATTAAATTAGGAATTATTCATAAGTTACCTCAAAATGCTTAGATCTGGAAACTGGAATCTATTTAACAATGAAAGTATTAAAACTCACCAGCAGTCTGCAATAAATTTGAATTCGTTTAAAAAACATTAGCTGCTTCAACTTTGGCATATTCTTTGCCATGTAACAAGTAATACGATTGGCCTAAACAATTGAAACGTCATAAATTGAGTCAATAAATATGTATACATTTCTATGGCAATATATGAAAATCTTATACCTAGGCTTAAACCCCAAGCCAGTGGCATTATGCGATAAGTAAGTGAAACGTTTAAAGAACAGACTAAAACACTTATTTAAATTACATAGTATCATTTTATTGTGATTATTGATTAAGGAAGTAATATTTTAGTCACATGCCAACTGTGACGTGCATGCCATAGGTTCACCATCACTGCTATATATTGTTCGAATCATCATATATGAGTAGCAGATTTACCTAATATGTAAAAAAATTTGATAACGTTCCATTTCGAAGCAAATTTTTTTGTACGTCTTCTCAATAAATAAAAATGACTCCAGCGTTTTGATATGCAAATGGTAAAATAACTACTTTGAACTGGCTTTAACAGAGGTTGAGATGTCACTTTTCTAAACATACACTTTTCTTTCACTTTTTATTTTATCATTTAGTCTTTTAATTTGTTTGTTTACTTTATGTACGCACCTTGCACTTAATGTTTTTAATTAGATACATCCTGAATTAAATGCATTTTTATTTAAACCAATGAGATTAAAATGTAAAAAAATAATGTAAGAACTGCATCTACTGCTTTTAAACAGCTTAGTTTGTTAATCAACAACAATTTTATATTTTGCTGAATGGCATTAGACTCGAATGAAAAGTGAAACAATGTATTTAGTGAATCAATGCAAAATCATATTTCAAAACTAATAACCTTTTTTGGGCTAATAAATAAAGCCATAGAAGAGCTGTATAATGATACATGGATAAGACTTAGCATTTCTTGTTTACATAACCAGACATTTAAATATTTTTAATAAAGAGTTGCAAGAAAAAAATAAACTTATCATTGACATATATGCTTGTATTAAATCTTTTAAAGTTAAATTGTAATTACGGGAAAAGATCACTTGAAAATCAAAATATTTTGTGCATTTCCTACACACCAAATACTGTCCTCTTATTTAAAATGAAAAAAATCAAAACATGCAAGAAAAACAGTATTATTAGAACAAAAATTTGAAGAAAGATGTATTGACTCGAAGGATCTGAAATTCAATTTTATATTTTTTCATCAGCATTCACTCAAATAAATTGAATAATACACCAAAAAAATCTACAAAGGAATTTATTGAAAAAAGACTGTACTAATTAATTTACCAGTCTGATACAAATCTTACTCAAAGATTTGATTAACTTTTATTCATATTTGTCAAAAGATAAATACCCTCAGTTCTGAATTGTAGCATTAAGAATGCTTGCTTTGTTTGAAAGTACATTTATATCTAAATCGTGTTTTTCACAATTGAAAATTAATATGTCTGAAAAAGAACACTATCAACCAATGAATATTTACAATCCATGATGAAAAGTTTCTAATAATGTTTTTCCAAGGTTACTCTCATCGAAATGCTATCAAGAATCAAGCTGTTGTAAAAAGTGAAGAAGTTTATAATTGTTTACATACAGATACATATATTTCTTTTCCTGCATGTGCTGAAGAAAAATTTAAATAAAGATTTATTTTATGTCTATATTATTTATAATTTATTTAATGGTTAGTTCAATATATTAGAATTACCTGAACTAAATGCCAGTTTGACAATTTAACATTTCACTGTCTATATGTTTGAACTGTGAAGTGTAAGAGAAACTTCTTGCAGGCACCAAGATTTAAATTTCTTACAGCTTAATTTATTGAAATAAATTTTCAATTAAACCACATATGAGGCAAATTAATTTAAAAAATAAAATTTCCAAATGTATTATAAATTTAACACATCAGGGGTACATATACAGCAATACACACACATATTCACTCTCATTCTGTAAAAAAAAAAAAAAAAAAAAAAAAAAAAACTTGTCTTTCCGTTGCTTTCAGATCATGCATCTGTCCTGCATGCAATTTGAGTTTGAGATATTTTTTTTACATATATTATTGCATGATCCTTCTGCTTCATTGAACTCCAGCTGCCGCATACAAGTTGTCTGAGAAAGTTCTTACTTTTATTTATGTTTAAACATGATTTCAGCATGTCAACAAAGAATATGTTATCTGGTTTTTAACTTCATTTTAATGACGTGTGGTCCAGTTTATTCTTCAACTAATTTATCTATTTATATTTCACATGTCTGCTTAAATATGTATCACATTACAGTATAAATTACTGCTGAACAGCTTGAAGTTTCTGAAATGTATACTCTAATGCAGAATCCTGACTGCAAGATTTATAACCGGCAGTTCTTAATTACCTACATTAATGAGAACTCGTTGTATATGTCTTTAAAATGATCTATAATATTACCATTACATTTTTTTGGTTACCTGCACTTTCTTTAAACAATAGTTTTTAAGAGCTATGTAATGAAATAACGAGGGATTGAATTACACGGATAATATGAAGCATAAGAATTTACAACTATATTTTACTGCATTCTACTTAGAAATTAGTTTTTTTTTATTAATGCTCCTTTAGACTTTTAGAATGCAATGATTTTTCTACAAAAATGTTTCTTTTCCAACTATAAATGTGAAATGATGTGTTTAAGATAAATAATACATAAAAATCAAAATTATTAAATACATAATTTTAAATATAATAATAAATTATTAAATATATTTAAAATTGAGAACAAATTCAGAACCAATAAAATCTTTATTCATTTTAAGCACAGATTAACTTCATCACAAGTATTTTGATCGGAGGCAGTTTTCTGTAAACTTTTGTCAAACCATCTGGATTAAAGGTAGTTCTGACAAATTAAATTTTACACTTTTCCCCCAGAATACTTCACATAAAACTTAAAAAATTGTGCACATGATACCTAGATTATAAAACTGAAACTATTGTGCACATGATACCTAGATTATAAAACTGAAACTATACGTAACATTCTTTTTGAGACAACAGGAAAAGATTTACAAATTTTACAAATTCCAGAATAAAATATTAAAGCATTATTAACACACTGTATCAAAAGTTTTTGGGATCTAATAGCAAATATGATCCCCAAACCTTTTGAATGACAAGAATTTCATTATATCACACAAGAGCAAAACACATGAAATGGAAAAATTGTAATATGTTTGCTTATAAAAAGCTCTTTAGCATCCTACTCTTAACATGTCAGAAATTATAAATTATTTCTAGAAAATATTATGCTTTTCTCAATTATCCATGATATGAACCATGAGAAAATATGAACATTACGTACAACTATAATTACAGATCTCTTGAAACTAACATAAATGAAAAAATATATTACATAATGCAAGTTCTTTTAAAAGAAATATGCCACTCCAACTACAGGCTCCATTTTGATTCACAATGCAATCAATTTCTACTTCAATGTCTATAATTCCTGAATGAGAGAAATGGGATTTTACAATCTAAATTCATTTCAATGAAATGAAGATGATGGCTATCTAAACATTATGTACACTGCTACCTGAAAAGAAAATAAATATCATGGTTAAAAAATTACTCAGTATACTTTTTACACATACAACTTAATTCTTAAATGTATTACTACACTGTGAGCTACTAAAAATATATAGTAAAATACTTAACACACAAGAAAAGTTTTATAATATGAAAGAATAGTAATATCTTTCTAAATTCTGCTGCAAAAAGAAAGACTCAAGCACAGGCAACTTTGGCAGCTGCCTAGAATACTGATTTTAGGAAGGCAGTAGCTATGTTGTTTTCACAAGTAATAACTGAATCTAATATTATTAGATTATTTTCACAAGTAATAACTGAATCTGATACACTGATCAACCAAAAATTATGACCATCCTTCTAATAAATGCTGCTTCTTCTCTGGCATGCAAAACAGCTGTAGCCCACTGTGTTTTAGATTCTATAAATCCTTAGTAAATTTCCAGAGGAAGAATGTACTAGATCTGCAAATAGAGCTCATGAAGTTCCCTTAATTTATGAGGTGCAGACACTTCACAATATTACAGATAGGATAAATATCCATTCAGTTAATTTGGAGATTAGAACAAGTGGAATTCATCAGATTATTTCTCACACCACTATAGTATAATCCAGGACAAGGAACATTGTCTTACTGGAAAAGTATGCCCATAAGAACATGCTCCAAAACATACCTCCACCACTGGCTCATTTGGGTCAAATGGTACACATGCTGATCAGCTGTTTGCCAGCAAGATGGCATAGACTAACATGGCAATTAACATAATGTAAAAGAAACTGTAATTCATCCAACCAGACAATTAATTCTTTTTCATTGTTGCATGGTACAAGCATGATGTTCATAAGCCTACTTAGATATCAATGACGCTGTGTTAACAGAGGCAAATGAGAGAAGTTGCTCTAACAGAGTCCCATACCAAACACAGTCTGGTGAACTGTATGCTTAAACATGTTTATAGTTGAACTTGCAATGCATACTATTGAACTACCTATTTGTCTCTGAAAGCAGGCCATTCTTCAACACCTGCATTCCTTGATCAAATGTGAATGTCCAGTGCATTAGTATCTACTAATGGTTTCATAATCCTTTAACCACTTTTCATAGATACTAACAATTTCAGAACACCTAACAAGCAGAAATTCAGTGCCATTCCAAGTTGTTCTAGCCTTTGGGACATCCCAACATGGCTTTATCAATTCATTTAAATCAGCAGCCTTTCACAAATAGTTGACAAAATGATGTTTCAAGTATCCCAGGCTGTCATTAAATAATGTTCTTACTTTGAGATATGGCAGTTATACTATTCCAATCAGCTACTTCACAGAATTAAGAAGTGGCCATTATGTTTTAGCTGATTAGCCCACATTTTGTTTTCAGTCGTTAATGTGTTTATTTAGATGGGGCACCAAAAATACCTGAGTTACGGTTTGTTATAAATATGATGCTTTTACACGATGACTAAGAGCATAAAGTAAAAATTCTTTTTTGGAAGTGTCTGGCTTCAAGAATACTATAGAATGTTTTTTATATAACAATTAATAATAATAAAAAAAAAAAAACTTCATTAAAATTCTTTTGGGGGAAAAGAAATACTTTTTGGTATGTTGCTTTGTTGCAATCAGAGCCAGATTTAGACTTGATAAGGCCTTAAGCTATTTGAGATATGGGGCCCTTTATAAGTTCAGATATTATACGTCAGTGCCAAATATTATTTTCAGATACTTAGAGGGTTTTTGGAGGCCCCCAAGAGAGCAGGGGTCCCTAAGCTATAGCTTATACCTAAATCTTGCACTGGTTAAAATCATAAAATTTTTTTATTATAAATGTACTTCCCTTTTTTTTTTTTTTGTTTTTTTTTTTTTTTTTTTTTTTTTTTTTTTTTTTTTTTTTTTTTTTTTTTTTTTTTTTTTCTTTTTTTTTTTTTTTTTATTTTTTTTTTTTTTTTTTTTTTTTTTTTTTTTTTTTTTTTTTTTTTTTTCTATTTGAGAATGAAGCAACATAGAAATAAGAAATTTACTGGCGATGTTCACTAAAGAGTTCTTTAATGAATGCAACATAGAATGTTTCTAAAGTTCAACACAAACATGAATTACAACAAAAAATTGCACTCTTGGCAGAGAAATTTTGTCTTGGAGAAACAGTATATAAGTTTTTTGAGGAAACATGGGGTGGTAACATTGCAAAAATGGGTTCTAATAAGGAATATGTCCACCCCTAGCTGCAATAAATTGGTGGCAGCTATGTTTCATGCTGTCAATTAAGTTGTCTGTCAGTGAAATGAGAAGCAACGACCAGACATGGAGTAAGCCTTGTTCAAGCTCATCTAACGACCTCGGAGGAGGACTTAAAGTAGCAACCTGTCTCACAAGGTAGTCTCAAAGATGCTCTATCAGATTCAGGTCTGGGGATTGAATTGGCAATTCCATCTGCTCCATACCATGACCCTCAAAATGTTCTTCAACAACTCAGCTCGATGCGGTCATGCATTGTTGTCCATCAGAACAATCCAGGACCAATAGCAGCAGCATATGGGCAGACATGTTGATCAAGGATCTCGTCTCAATATCTCACACTGGTCAAAGTTCTCCACGTAAAACATGCAGGTCAATGTGACCACTGAGAGAGATTCCAGCCCAAACTGTTACTCCATGACCTCTGTAACTGTGTCTTTACACAACGTGGGATTAGTTGTACCTGGTGCATTGTTCCCTCCAGATCGGCCGACGACCTGAATCACTCTCCAATGTGAACCTGGACTCATCTGCAAAGAGAACAGTGCCCATTATTGCTGGTCCAGGAGAGGTGTTCTCTTGCCCAACATAAACGGGCACCTCTGTGTCCTCGGATCAAGGGGACACAAACAACTGCTCATGTTGCATACACAACTGTATTGTGCAGGCATCTGCACACTGTAGTAGCTGAGAATCTTGTTCCTGTTGCCACTATACCACGAGCTTCGGCACAGTAATGTTACTCCTTCTTCAAGCCGAAATAGCTAAATAACAGTCTCCCGCAGGTGTTGTAACTCTAGGTCTGCCTGGAGCTTGTCTTCTAAACACAGAATCCTCAGATTCAAACTGATTCCACAGTCAGCGGACTACACTCCGAGAAACATTGAGACGTCTAGCAATAATCAGCTTGTGACATCCATATTTCTATCCATCTGATCCAGGGTTCATAGCCACATTTTAGTTTAAAAAATAAGCACCTATAAGCACTTTTCAAGCACATTTTAAGAAAAAAAAAATAAGCACCTGTCTAATTACATTATACACAACTGCATAACCTTAAAAGAAAAATTAGACTTGCAATTTAAAATAAGAGCTATGCAATATTTATTAAGAGAATGAGCATTACCTCAACCATGGAAAACAATTAACTTTTTTTTTTTTTTCTTTTTTAAATGACAGTTTAATTTACAGAATAAGTTTACAATGAGAGAAAAAAAAAACTATGCAGAACTAAACTATATTACAAGATTTAATGATGAAATTTCAGTTCAAAATATAGAAAATAAATAATAATAAACCATATTAATTGTATTCGCTTGGCACCTAATAATAAATACAATTTATTTTTACACTCATATTAATATTTAAATAATTTAACTTAAATCAAAAATTCTGAACATTTTCTAAATTTTCATTGTATAACAGTTCTTTCCTTAACACATATTGCAAGCAAAGTAATTTAAGTAAAAAGAGGAACATTTCTAAAATTCAGGAAGACGGGAAATTTGCTTCATGCAGTCATCCTTTAACAGTAAAAGCTTAACTAACCCGCATACTTCGGAAATTGGCGAACTATTGCGGATAGTCCGAGTGTAACTTGGAAAAAGAAGAGCAGGAGGGGGATGGGTAGACTGTAGCCGTTCTTTAGATTTGCTCCGGCTAAATAAATGCTTTTGACATTTCGATATGTGCATCATCTAAAAATAAAGACCAATGGAACTGAAATATTCTGCTTAGAAAGAACAGTAAAACTCTTTTAGTGTTCATAAATAAATCTCAGACTGAACATCAAAATTAATTATCTCTGCAAAATACCGCAAACGTTATTGCGTAATATGTGCGCCGTAATTCTTCCCTACATGATAATTACGCAATCGGAATCGGAATCAACAGCTGACGGTAATGGGAGAATAAAGAACTAAATAAAGGAAATGAAAGAGACTTACTAATCTGGGGTGTTTTTGATTCTAATTTTGAACAGACTGTGTTAAATTTCCGGAATAGAATCATTCTTCGCTCTTCGCTTGGGTTGGGTAGACCGCAGAACTTTTAGTCCTATTCAAATCCAGATTGGACAATGACACAAAAAAAAAAAAAAAAAAAAAAAAAAGGTCCGATACTTCAATATTAGAGATTTTGCGGAGAAAGGGAAGAACCTCCCAACCTCCGTACTGTATAATGTATTGGAAAAAAAAAAAAAAAAAAAAAAAAAAAAAAAAAAAAAAAAAATTTCTGACTTACTTGATTACTTTCCTTTCATTTAAGCCATTCCGAATATTATTCCTTAGAAACGCTAATCTGTCTTATAACACACATACCCATTTTTTGGAAGTTTATCTATCCATTTTTGAAGCAGTTTATCTATCCATTTTTGAAAGTTTATCTATATTGCAACTATATAAATATTCATACATATAGCTCAGAATATAAGCATAATGATCATAATAAATGCGAATATGAACTGACCTCGCGGAACGAGAATGTAAATTATTAAAATCTTGATATAAATTCAAACGTGTGTAGTATTTGGGTGGGAGGAAAAGAATACCGAATGTACCGGAATTTCTACGGTTTTCGCAATTCTTTGACCAATAGAACGACGTGCACTTGTCTGTACCGAGTCTGTACTCTCGCGCGCACCGACGTTTCATATAAGGAAGAAAAGTTGTTTATTTAGTTTCCGCTTTGGTACGGGGGGAAAATGCGTGTTCATTAAAAAAGCACTAAAAGCAAAAAATATGCACTAAAAACAAAAAAATAAGGGCTTTAAAGAAA